CATTTGATTTTCTCATATAGGCATTAACTTGAAAAGACTGTCCGTACTGCCAAAGTGGTTTTCCTTTCTAAAAGATTTTTTTTCTTAACTTTAATCCAAAGATTAAAAGAAGCTATAAGTACAAGTAAAGAACAAGAAGCACAGTACCAAGCCAGCCACCCAAACCTCAGGAAGCTGAATGACTCAGGTTAGCAGGGACCTGCGTTCCCTCCCACATTTGGCTTTGGTGTTGGCTCAGGGGCGGGGGAGGGGGGGTAGTGGGAGCTCCAGCTGTTTTCATCTCATATTCTGGGTGAAGGGTGTTAGGGACCCAGCACTGCTCTCAGGGAGCTGAGGTATATGTCACCATGGAGGGTGGCATGATGAAGTAGGAGCCTGTGTCCTATCGAAAGTGAGTCTGCCTCATGTAGCTCTGAGTTCCTTTGGAAGCGAAAAGGCAACTGCAGGAAAACCCATATGATAAGTAGAAAAATGGCCCTCCAAAGATGTCCACGTCCTAATCCCCAGAACCTGTGAATATGTTAGATTATATAGCAAAAAGAGAATTACGGTTGCTAATCAGCTGACCTTGAGATGGTAAATTATCCTAGATTATCCAGTCAGCCCCAGTGTGATCACAGAGGCCCTTTCTAAGTGGAACGGAAAGCAGATAAGAGAGTGTCAGAGTGAAAGATGGAAGATACTATGCTGCTGGCTTTGAAGATAGAGGAAGGGGGGCCACCTATTAAGGTGACCTCTAGAAGTTGGAAAAGGCTAGGAATTTGATTCTCCCCAAGAACCTCCAGAAGGAACAGAATCCTGCTGACACCTTGATCTTAGCCCAGTAAGACCTGTGTTGGGCTTCCAAACTCCGGAATTAAAGGATGTTTGTTTATTATAGCAGCAGTAGGAGACTAATACAGCCTCCTGAGTAGGCAGAGGCTAATACAGTACCCCTGAGTAGGCAGAGAAGCAGCAACATGGACAAGGTGTGCAAGATAGAATGTTTTGTGTCGAATCATCCCGTTAATATCAAATGACAGGTCCAGAAACATCCCTTACCTGGAAGGGAATTTAAGCCTCCTGACAGCTTCCGTAGACCCCCAGGCCATTGGCAGGACTCCAGAAACTAAATGCTTTCTATGCTGCCTTCGAGGAAAGCAGGACTCACCCTGAACGTGCTGGAACCCACCAGTATCATGGTTGACGCAGCTAAGGAGAGGACTGATGGAGGAAGAAAGACTAAGATTGACACAGTTCAGTTCAAGAAGGGCGAAAACCCCGGGAAGTGTGGGACAACTAAAATACAGAAACCTGGAAAAAAACCTGAGCTCTTCATACCCTGAAGAAGTAGAGTAGGGGCCCTACACCCAAAAGACAATTTTAAGGGTGTAGAATGGCTTCAGTAAGGTATGCTTGAGGAATTCCACTAAGTCTGAAAAGGAAGTTTTCTAAAAAGATGTAAACTGAGATGACAGACAGGCTTTTCTATGCATTTAGAAACTGAAGTTGAAGGAAGATTTATTTCTTGGGGCAAATGTGCATTTTTTAGCATTTCTTGTTAACTCGTTTATGAAGTGAAAAAGAGTATAGAAATAAATTTCAAAAGGAAAAAATAATCACCCATCCCATTTTTGTAACGTAACAATTTTTATTTTTTAAACTTTGTCTTTTAGACTTTGTTCACAAGCCTTTGGTGTTTTGCATTATTGCAGATCTACTACCAGATTATGGTTTGAATCTCTTTCTCTTTCCTGAACTTGTGTGTCAGGTGACCTATATGTTGAGAGTCTTCAATCTCTAAAGGGCTGTCCCCAAGGAAGAGTCTCTCCCACTCCCACCAGCCTGCCCAGTGCTCCTGCCCCCAAATGTTATCCGTTTCCACACTCATCTCTTTAGGTGGCCTCAGAACCAACCACCTCATTCCTTCCACCCATTTTCCATATTAAGATTAATTTGGTGAGGCAACATTGCAAGAGATGTGAGTTAACCATTCTTGTGTTTCTTTCTAAACTCAGACTCTGTCCCTGCAGGGACCAGTTCTACTGTGAGTACTGATGCTTACCCGAAGAACCCACACCTTCGAGCCTATTACCAGAAGGTTGACAACAATCTAGGTAAGACCGGAAGCTGCACCAGCCTCTGCAGGTCCCTTACTCGAGACACTTGTCTTGCAGGCACCTTATGCCTAGCCAACCAGTACACCATTAGGCACCCAGGTTCTCAAGACCAAAACCTGGTGTCTGCTTCTCTCTCGCCACATGTCAGATCCAACACAAGTTATGTCCATCTCACCCCCTCACTCTCTGGAGTCTGTCCACTTCTCTCCATCCCCACCTTTCATCTAAATCATGACATCAACAGAGACCAGGAGTGCCTGAGAGGCCATATTGTGCAGCCTGGACCCTGCTTGTTCTAATCCTTATACCTGACATGGGGAGCCCCCATTTCTTCCCTTGTGAACCAGGCTCAGGAACAAAACGTGCCTCTGAGGACTGGGGGAGGGATACATGAGAGACCCCATCAAGCATGTAAGAAACTTCCTGGTCTGATAAGAGCTGGCACTCATGGCCATGGCAGCACATTGGCCACACAACTGGTTCCTTACAGCCCAGGTCCCTCACCCTGGCCTCTGGCCCCTGCCTTCCTCTCCACCCCTCCTGCCCTCATCACTTTGTGGCTCCCAGTTCTTTCCTGCCTCACTGCCCCTATCTGCCTGGAGAGTCCTTCCTCCCATTCTTTGCAGGCTGGCTTCTTCTCATGCCATGAGCCCTGCTTTAACGTGGCCACTTCTGGTCTCTCAAGCACCCTATTGTTTCCACTGTAGTGACTCATCTGATGTCTCCCTGACCAAACTATAAATTCCCAGGAATACAAGAATATTTTAGTTCATCACCACTTTACACTCAAGGCCTAGCAGGCAAGCACTCAATGATCATTCTTTGAATGAAAGGAGCGAAGTCAGTTATTTGAAGTTCAAGTGGAGTGTCACGTATGTGGACAGTAGGAGTTAACCTGTGAGCAGCTTCCATGAATTTATTCTAGGTGATGTCTCAGATAGTGCCTCTTCCTCTGACCTTTGTCCCATAACTACTTTGGTTGCTCGTTAGTCTTTCACCCCCATTAGGATATGGCAAAGTGGGTGAGACAAAAAGTAAAATGTACCCCTGCTCTAAAGTTGTCTAATAGAAGACAAGCCTGAATCTCATGAAGATACATAATGGATGTCTCCAGGAGGAGACACAGCGTGGGCCCCGCCCCTGGTTCACACAGAGCAGCGCCCATCCAGCAGCCCTGATTGGCCAGCGTAGAGGGCATGTTAGGCAAATCCATACTCATTTTCTTTTTAGTAACATTTACTTTCATTTCTAAGTATATAGATTCATTGTAGAAAATTGTAAAGTTAGATAAAGTGCTTGAAGAAACAAATACCCCAAATCCTCCTATCTAGCAGTGGCCACTGATATGGTGCCAGTCTTTCTGTTTTCATGTACATATGTCTAGTGTCAAATGTACTGAGGATCATTCAGTATACACATTTCCTTATCCTGCTTTTTCACTTAGATCTTGAACACTTTCCTAAACCTTTTTTCTTAAAATTTCTTTGAAAAGCACTTTACCATTTCCATCCCCTGCTGTTCAGCACTTAGGTTACATCCATTGTTTGCTACTGCAAATAATTCTCTGTCCATTCTCATGAGGGAGCCTTTGGCTACATTTTGTAGCGAGATTACTAGAAATAGAATTACAGAGTCCAGGAATAGAATCTTTCTTTTAAGCATGAAAAGAAATCTTTACAGAAATAAGACATTGATTTTAGAGAATAGACATAAGCCAGAACAAATAAATAAAAGAACTGTAATTTTACCACCCACAGCTCACCACTGCTACCCTCAGTGTGAATGTCAGCACTAGACTTTCATCGCTGCGGGGAAGAGGGCCCATCTCAGCGATTTCCATGCCCTGGCAGGTTCTCTACCAGACTCCACCTGCCCTTTGCCCTTAGAGCCCAGGGAAGCCCCAGCCAGCCACTCATCCTTTCTGTCCTCTGAACTCTGCCCTGGAGCCAAAAGCCTCAGGTAGAAGGTGCATGTGTGGGATCTGCTCCAGAGGAACACAGCGGGGATTGAAGGCCTTCAGTCTTCCCCACCTAAAGTTTCCCCAAGGAAGATGAGGGAGATCTGCAGAGGGTCAGAATTCAGTAAATCCAACCCACCCCTAGAGACTGAGGGTGCTTTTCAAAGAAATTTTAGGAAAAAAGGTTTAGGAAAGTGTTCAAGATCTAACTTTATCACACTTTTTATCTCAGTGTAGCTATCTGCCTGTTCTTTGCTATCACAGCTGCTGACAAGCTTCCTATGGCCTGCGGTGGCTTCACACATTTTACTTTCCATGGTCATGGGTTTCAATAAACTCAAGAAACATGGAGCTGAAGACTATTTTTATTGATCCTGCTTAGATTTATAGTACCAATACCAGTATTTTCTGGATTCTGGCTTTTTTTCACTTGGTTTTTTTTATCTCTAATTTAGCATTAAAGGGGCTTACAAAGCACCATCTCTTTTTCTCTTCCCTCTGGCTCTTTCCTGACCTGCTGTTCTTAGTAAAGAAAGCAGCTCTAGGCATGCTCCCAGCTCCCACTTCCCATTTACATGTGTACACACATGCATGTGCACACACACACATACTCACAAAACCTAGGAAAGAGGCTTTATTGTTCACCCAGACAGAATGAAGTCAAGACTCATCTCTGCAGTTGGCACAGCGCTAGAGGACCCCAGGGTCCCTCCACATGTCTCTTCCCCTTACTCACCCTCAGCTCTCTTTATGTCATCTGTGCCAAGTTAGCTTTCACATACTCTTAAGGTTGGCCATGTCCTTATAGACAATATCCCTTTTAAAACGAATGTGAGATTGATTTTTACAATTTTTTGAAACAGAGGGAAAATATTTATTACCAATAGTGGAAAAGCCTAATGAGGGAAATAGAATGAGCTCAGAAGAAAACTGGCACCAGGGTAGCTCGTTATGGCCAGGCGCTCCTAGGGGCTCAGGTCAGCTGTGGTCAGGGTCTTGGGCAGGCTGGAGCTTGCCTAAGGAGCAGGGTCAGAATTTGCACTCAAATTTAAAAAAAAAAAAATGATTTGCACTCAGGCCCAATGGAATTGGCCTGGATTTCCCCGAATACTGCATTTCCCCTGGTGGAGAATTTGAATTTCAGCAATAATGATGTAACCTAGCACAAGAGCTGAACCTTTGCCTAAGGCAGTGTACTCCACAGTTACCTGGGGCTTAGCCAACTGGCATCTCTAAAGGAACTGAGGATCTTTAGCATTTTATTCCTTTTGACATGGGGACCCTGGGCTGCAGGGATTTAGGCATCCAGCTTGTACAGAGGCCACTGCCTTCTTCCTGACCTTAAAGTAAGCAAAGGAAATGATGCCAGGCCAGTTCTGGGAGATTGTCATAACCTAGAACATTTGCAACATCAGTGTGGTGTTCAAGGATCTGGGAAATGGTAACAGTGAGTGAACAAGTGTGAGAAAATGTGAATTTTCCTAATGTGGGTAAAGGGGCCTCACAGCATCTAGGTCCAACAGGAACATCTATGGTTCATGCGTTCTCTGGCAGAGCACCCCAGGTAGCAGGGCAGCAACAGACACACACCCCCTTCTCCTCCCACTTGCAGAGGAGACTAGGGTGTGCAGCCTTCTCCAAGGAGATGTCTAGGGCTGGAGCAGCCTGGATACAGGAGCTCTCATTAGACAGGGCTTCCCAGGTCTGTCTCTCAGACATATTTCCAAATAGGGATTCTCCTATTTGCCATTCTAGAGCTGTGCTTGATCTAACTTTAGGGAGCTGGAGATGGAAGGAAGGAAAGCAGGCACCACTCACTGATGTGGGGTTTTTGCTCCTGAAGAGCAGACTAGTGAGTCTGGCTTTTAGTATCCAGCATACCTCTCCCAGGTACTCATTATAGGGTCTTGAAAGGGAACGTATTTTCCAGGGCCCTCGGTGCCCTTTTCCATAGGTACTGATCCTGCAATTTGCGGCAACCTACTAGAAGGTTCAAAGGCTGCTAAAAAGTCACGTAGTTCTATATGCATTGTTTAAAACACTGGAAGGACAAACACCGTTATATTAACAGCCGTTATCTTAGGTGAACAGTGGGGAGAGTAGTGACTCCATATTAAGCACATATTACTTTTTATTGAGTAAACAGATTTTCTCTTCACTTGCATCTATTTTGGAAAATATAACCAAAGCTCTGAAAAGTAGCCTGTTTCATGAGAAGGACTCGGTGACCTAAATGTTGTTGAGCACCTGGGAGGGAACAAGAAGCAGTTCCCAAAGCATGTCTTTTCTTCTCCCACAGATGAGCTGTCCATGGGACTGAGCCGGCTAAAGAACATAGGCCTGGGGATGCAGACAGAAATTGAGGAGCAAGATGACATTATTGACCGCCTCACAACCAAAGTGGACAAATTAGATGTCAATATAAAAAGCACAGAAAGAAAAGTTCGACAACTTTAAAGACAGAGAAGTTCTACTTTATTGTGATGAAAAGATTCAAAAGATCTTTTAAACTCCCAAGAAATTTCATTTATTACTTTAGTATGTGATTTAACATGTTTGCAAATATTATAATAGAGTGGGTCTTAAGAGATTCTGTTGTTTTGAAGAAGTGTGCATCCCACTTATTCTGAGAACCAACTCTTCTCTTAGTTCTTTGAACTGAATGCTTAGAGTTTTAGTTGGAGCACAGTAGCCTGGCCCTGAATATCCTGGGCTTTTGACTGTTACCATGCTGAAATGACAAGGAAAAGTTGTGTTTCTCACGTTAACGAGCAAATGGAAAGATGTGGGCAGAATTTCAATCCCTGTTTGCCAATATTTCATTCCTAGGTCTTATCATCAGAGTGCTAAGGGAGGGATAAGAGACCCTGTGAGCCAGTTATTTGTGGGGAGGGTCCTTCCTTCCCACATCTTGTGTAGCAGTGATCACCCCACACACACACACACACACACACACAGAGACACTAAGCACACTAAGCATATTGTGATTCAGCTTCCTTGAAAAGGATCGTTATAAGATTCAGAAATGGAGGATGTCAGCATTCTTTCATGTTTTATTGACAGATGTCACCTCTTCCCCTCTTGACCTCCATCCTTGGTGTGCATTTTAGTAGAAGGGGCTCAGACAAGCCCTACTCATTGCAGTGCCTGGAAATACATAGAGAAATGGGTAAGCCCTTATTTCCCATACGTCTTCATCTCTGACTCTCTGTCCATGAGGAGGAACAGATTCTCCACTGGCTCATGGCTGCTTGGCTTACCAATGGGGGACCTGTAGAGTTGGGAATGGAGCATCACACAGACATGGCCAAGCAGCAGTGTTCCTGCACTGAGCCCTCCCCCCCTTTGGGGCTCTTCCTGACCTCTCCAGGGATCCCACTCACTCTCCTTGCATGTTTTACAAGGTGAATTGACTCAGCACTTGGTTCTGTGCCACCCAGTTTCAGGACTGGAACTCCACAAATGATGCTGACTTTGTATAGAAGGATTTGGCTAAAAAAGAAAGACCAAACATCATCATTTTAACTGGTCAAGTTTGTTCTTTCGTTTCTTAAAAAGAATCACTTAAAAGCATTACAATTACAATCGATTTCTATAACGAAATGGATTTCTTTGTGTTGGTACCGCCAACAAAATAATGGAAGCCACAAGACTCTTGTCTTTTTAAAAAACAAATTAATGAAAATATTTTGAAGATGGAGAAAGGGACTGATTTTAGTAAGACAGATTAGGTCAAAAACTTTAAAATACCAATGTCTTTTACCTTGAAACATGGCACCGAATATGTGACCTTCACCACTTCCATCGTGGCCTGTAAACAAAGTCCCTTAAAGCAAAAGAAAGTTCTTTAGAGTGCTGCAGCAATGAATGCATCAGAATTTATGTAACAAATAGTTTTTACAAGTTCCATCCATGCATGACCTTCCTAAGAATATTGACAACCTCCATCAACAGATGCTTTCTGTCAAGTTGCAGTCGCCTCAAGGATGTGATCCACAATATTATGAATGTCCCAGGATGTAAGGATGTGATCAAATTAGACATTTATTAGATGAGCTCATCATGATTATTCTCTTGGTAACTAGTGAAAGGAAAATTTTTACATGTATACCCAGCCCAAAGTAAATGAGTTTACAGGGCTTTCAGCAAAAAGGCTGCTCAAAAAAACATGAAGCCAGAGAACAGAGCAGCCAGTGTGTATATTTCATTCATTCTAATGTTTCTGATTTTTTCCTAATACCTTTCATGTATGTCATATTAACTTTTTCCTGCTTATCATCATCACACAGACTCACAGAGACTAGTCATTATACCTCAGACCTAAACTTTTTTTTTTCAAGTAGATGCAGCCACCTGCCACTAAACAATCTCTTCAGCAGCCTTCCATTTGCATAATGGGATTACTGATTTAACTGACTTGAAGTAAAGCAGCACCTTATTTTATGTACCTTCCCTTGTCTTTTGTTGGATTGATGAAGCCAATCACCTCCCTCCTTTTTTTTTTTTTTACCCTTAGCCTATGGAAGGAGAGTTGCCCTCACTTTTATAGAAATTTGTCTTCCTCTGACACATTAGAGGGCCTCATATCATTTATTTTGTTCTTTTTCAGAGGCCCTAATTCTAACGTCTCAGCCAAGGTATTATCTCTAAGCTACAAGCTAGCCAACCACTTTCTTCTTCCCACACCCACCAGAGACCCTTAACTGGTTCTACTTTATAAAGCAAAGTTGCTTGCATTTTCAGAGAACAAAGACCTGAGGAGCCTCCAGAAGCTTTGCACATGATGGCGATGATCAAAAAGAAAACATTCTATCCTCTAAACTAGATACCTCTCATGGGGACACTCAGAGGTGCCTGGGCTGGGTTTGACTGTGGAATGGGCTTGGTAAGACATAAAAGATGAATTCGACCTTTGCCAGAAGGGGCCCATAAGACAGATTTTTATTTCCACAGTTGAGCTGGAAACAAACTGTGCCTTCAAAAAAGTGGCTTTTCTAACTTTAGGCTGGTTATATGTTAAATGTTCCGCTAACTAAAAATAAGTGCATTCTCCTCCAGAGGAAACTGGAAACTATTTCTAACATCTAGCGATTTGTAACTTAGCAGTGGGATTGCCTCGTGGATTTTTTTTTTTTTTTTTTTTTTTTTTTACATTCTGTAGGAAAGGAAACCTGAATTTAACTCAGGTGGTGAGAAAACAACATAAGTGCATTTTAATTTCTCTAACTCTTTGTGAATATGTAATTTTAAGTGTACACTACACCAATTTAGTAAAAATCTTATACTTTGCCTGGATAGGTCTTTTCTGCAAAATTTTAAAGTTAATGTTGTTGAGCATCGTCAGCTGTGATGGGTAAAAGATCTTATGTACAGAATGATGATCTAGTCATTAAAAGTGCTCATGAGAGGATGTGCTTTTTGTTCTGAGTCTATATCTGAATAGCTCTTATGCTCTGTGCCTTCAATTCAACAAATAACCATATTCCATAAAGTAAAATGTGAAGTTTTTAAATCAGAATCTGTCTTCTACATAATCATTTTCAAAGAGTTGGTAGAGGGGAATCCTCATTTAGTCTTCCCTGCCACATTTAGCTCCCTGTCACAGTTAGCCCTATGAACCAGCTTCCTTCTTGAAACCCTCCTCTCATCTGTCAGAGTACTTTCCTATCCATCTCCTACCTCCCTGCTCACTCTGCAGAACTGTCTAGATGAGGGCTCAGCAAACTGTAAAGGGCCAGAGAGTAAATGTTTAGGCTCACAGGCCAAATGGTTTATCACAGCTACTCAGCTCCACCACTGTAGCACAAAAGCACCGTAGCACAAAGATGACATTACATAAAAGTGAGTAGCCATGTTCCAATAAAACTTTACAAACACTGAGATTTGAATTTCATGTAATTTTCACATGTCACAAAATACTCTCAATTTCTATAAACCAGTTAAAAATACAAAACCGCTTAGTTCACAGGAGGCACAAAACATGCTGGGCTGCATTTGGCCCATGGTCCACAGGTGATCACCCTGAATAGGGGATCTTATTCAAACTGCTGAGAGGTGCTTTTGGGGTAGGGGTGAGCAATGGATGAGCACTCTGCTTTGTAAGTGGCTTCCCCATCAGAGTTCTAGGCCCCTTTCCTGGGCAACACTGCAGCCCAGAGAGAGAGCAGGCCAGGACTAGCCTTAGCTCCACTCTCCTGCCTCCATTTTTATGTCTGACCACAGGCCTAGGAACTGCTTCTAAATCTGAAGGCTCTGAGAAAGCACCTGGGCTTAGGACATCTTGGACATCTTATCCGTCGGTGGACTACCTACTTGCGCATGTCCCAAAGACCACTTTGGTTTTAGCAGATAACATCTTTGGGCATCATTATAAATAAAGGACTATGAGGGTCTGAACACAGGCAGTGGATTTTTCTGCGAAGACAAGGGAGAGGACATTACATAGACGCATAAGTGAAAAAATCAAAGTAGCTCACATTTGGGAGCTGCAAGTACAGAAAAGCCTGTAGTTTGGGTTATGGGTGGAAGATGACGTGAGGAAGGCAGGCAGGTCCCAATCTGAAGGGCTTTAGGGGCCAGAAGGTCAATGAGGAGTCAATGACAGGGAGACGTTTATGGATTCTAGGCAAGAGTGACATGATCAGATTTGCATTTGAAAAAACCATAAAGAGGCATATTAACATAAGAGAAAAAAACTAGACCTAACTGATGAAGGAAATGATAATAGTTCACCTACAGCTGCAATGGACAGTTGTGGCTATTAAAAGCTTTTAAGGAGCATATAGGATAATGCTTGCAATATTAACATTGTGGGGGAAAGATTGGCTGTAAACTGATTATACAGTATGCTACCGATTTTGTAGTTAACCAAACCAAGATACGTATTTCAGGGGGGAAAAATTACCCTTACATTGGTGGACAAACAGAACAGGCGAAAGAGAACAATTTAATAATGATCCAGGCAGGAACTGAAGAGGGGGAACCACACTAGAGCCGTGACAGAACAGGGAGGAGCAGGACAGGCTTTAGTGATAGATTTGCCAGTAAGGGTGGCATTGAAGGTAACACTCAAGATTTCTGGTCAAAAGAGCTAGTAGCAGTTTTATTTCACCAAAGGAATACAAAAACACAAGCACATCCGGGGTTAAGGGCAGAGGAAAATGACTAAATATTGGACATGTTGAGTTTAAAGAACTTTGGGATATCCAGGTGGATTTCAGATCTGAGCCAAAGGTGGTGCACAAAACAGACCAAAATCTCTGCCCTTGTGGAACTTAAATTCTCATGGGACAGAAGACAATGCACAAGACAAGACAATTAGTAGTATGATAACATTGACCGTGCAGATCTGGGGCTTGGGAAAGATGTGGAAAGGATTTGGGCATTGTCAGAATATAGATGGTAGTTAAAGCCACACAGGTGAAGAATAGTTCCCAGGGAGAATGAGAGGAAAGCCACAACCAAGTCCTGGAAATACAGACATGGAAGGCCACAAGCAATGCCAAGAACCCAGCTCAAGATAGGAAAAGAAGAACAATCAGAAAGCAAAAGCAGAGTTTGGAGGAGGGAGGGAGTGATGTTCTCTAATATTGTAGAGAAGTACATCAGGACAGAGTGGTTTCAATGGAGTGGCGTGGGTAAAATCCAGATTATGAGGGCTGCAAAGTGAGTATGCAGAAAAGAGGGGAGATTACTCTCTTAAACTTGGCTGTGAAGGAGGAAGACAGGGTGATAAACTAGGAAGCGGGTAGAGGACAGAATCCAGGGAGAGACTGGACCTTGTGTAAAGGCTAAGGAAAAAAAGCGGGTGACGAGAGAGGTAGGATAGAGGAGAAATGCCACAGAAAGAGAAAAGTCAGTCACAGACCTGAGAAGAAAGACCGTTTCCACAGAGAAAGTAGAGAAAGAATGTAGATACTTTTAGTTTGCTAAGCCTTCATAATGAAATACCATTCAGTGCCTTAAGCAACAGAAATTTATTATCTCACAGTTCTGGAGGCTAGAAGTACAAAATCCAAGAATTGGTGGTGGTGATTCCTTTTGAGGATGGTGAAGGAAAAATTGTCCTAGGCCCCTCTCCTTGGCTTATAGGTGGTAGTCTTCATGTTCACATAGCGTTCTGCCTGTATCTTCACATCGTCTTCCCTCTGTCCATCTCCCTGTGTCCAAATTTCCCCTTTTTAGAAGGACATCAGTCATATTGGAATAGGGCTCTCACCTTAATGACCTCATTTTAATTTAATTACCTCTGTAAAGATCCTGTCTCTAAATCAGGTCACATTCTGAAGTACTGGGAGTTAGGACACCAACATATTAATTGGGAGACGAGAGGGAGACACAATTCAATCCATAAGAGATATAAATAAGTGTGTAGTTGGGAATGAGCTGATATCTGACAGCCTTTATTTTCTTTGTGAGGCTGAAATTGGGGGGAGCTGAAAGAGGGATGGGAGCAGCAGGTATCAAAGAAAGGACTGTCAAAGACCCAGCTGAGCTGGGGACTCAGAAGGATCCCGGTAATGAACACACTTCATGAATTAAAAAAATAGAATAGTGGGGTCTCTAGCCCTATAGTCACCAGTTATTTCATGACTGCTTGACAGCAGGTAGGAGAGTCCCCAACAGTGTGGCCAGGGTTTGAGAACAAGCCTCCTGCCCCGTGGCCGGCTAGCAAAGCTAAGGAAGGCAAGTTAGAAGTCAGAACTCTGGCTTGAGGCCTAGAGCAAGGGTCTAGTTCCTTGACCAGAGTCACAAGGCAGGAGTCTGGGTACTAGAACTGGAGCTTAGATTAGAGAAGGACTAGAAGCAAAACTGATCTAACATTGATCTCCGTACTTTAGTGCAAAGAAGAATGTCCCAAAGTCTAGGCAGGACTCAACTTGAAAATAGGTGAGGATCAAGGAGTAAAGCAAGCCATTATAGATATGCAAGATCTGCTTATCTCATAGAAGCAGCATTTAAGGGCTATGGAGCCACTGAGGCCACAGACAAACCTCTGAGACCAAGAGCACTTCCAGGCCATGTAGAAATGAAGTCAAAATCAAGTTCTGCTGTGGGTCGATTTGACTTTTTTTTTTTTTTTTCAATGTATGTTTTGTTTTAAAGTTTCAGTTCTCTGAGACAGGCTAAGGGGATCATATTATTCCACCACTTAAAGACCTCTGTTGGCTCTTATTGTGGCTATGACAGAAGTGTCATTTAGGGAAGTCAGTTGGCCAACTGAGGCAGCACATGACAACCTCCATGGCCCCAAATGTGGTCCCAGGTCTACAGACCCAAATGTGGTTAGTTTCTTACAGATACTACCCAAAATCAATGAATTTTTAAATGAGATAAAAAGCCATAATTATTTATTTACAATAAGAAATATAATTGTCAAACAATCTAAACTAGAATGTAAGTAAGCTTTCTGAAGATGGGACACTAGAGCATTGTGCCTGGCACAGAGAAGGCACTCAGTAATTTTCTGTTGAATGGATGGTTAAGAAGAAGAAGAGGAGGAGAAGGGGGGAGTAAAGAAGAGGAAGGGGAGAGGGAGGAGGAAGAAGAGAATGGAGGGAGGAGAGAGGGGAGGAGGAGGAAGAAGAAGAAGCTAGGGAGAGAAAAAGAGAAAGTGAAATTTTTGGCCAACAGGTACACAAAAAAGTGCTCAACAACACTTACCATTGGGGAAATGCAAATCAAAACCTCGTGATAATATCACCTTACACCTATTAGAATGGCCGTCATCAAAAAGACAAAGAATAGCAAGTGTTGGTGAAGATGCGAAGAAGAGAAACCCCTTGTGCATTGTTTGTGGAATTGTAAATTGGTACAGCCACTATGAAAAACAGTATGGAGGTTCCTCAAAAAATTGAAAATAGAACTAGCATATGATCCAGCAATTTCTCTTTTGGGTATTTACCCAAAGGAAATGAAATCTCTATCTCGAAAAGATATCTGCACTCTCATGTTCATTGCAGCATTATTTACAATAGTCAAGATATGGAAACAACCTAGGTGTCCATCAACTGATGGATAGGGAGAGAAAATGTGGTATGTATGTATATACAATGGAATAAAAAAGAAGGAAATTCTGCTTTTTACAGCAACATAGATGGACCTTGAGGGCATTCTGCTAAGTGAAATAGGTCAGACATAGAAAGACAAATACTGTATGATCTCACTGTAGGATCTTTAAAAAAAAAAAAGCAAAAACTGAATTCATAGATACAGAGAACAGATTGATGGTTGCCAGAGGTGGAGGGTTGGGGGTGAGCAAATGGCTAAATGTGATCAGAAGATAAAAACTTCCAGTTATATTAGATAAACTCTGGGGGTATAGTAGACAGCATGATAACTAAAGTTAACAACACTGTATTGTATAATATTTGAAAGTTGCTAAGAGAGTGAATCTTAAAAGCTCTTATC